TGTGAGCCGTTAGCGGCAATTTACTACCCTTTTCATTCTGCTTTGTTATTTATTGCTGGTCTCATTGGGCTGGATTGAGTGGGAGGAGAAGGGAAAAGCGAGAGTGAGAAGGAGGGTCGATGTTTAGGGCCAGCACCACGTCGCTGGGTGCAGCATCCAGGCGGTCTGTGAGTAATTGGTCTTCCCTCCCGTTTGACCGCCGCGACAAGTCTTTCTGGTTGGCCTTCAATGAGTATCTAGCACCGTCCATGCAGTCCGAATTCCCATTGGCAAGCGATGAGTTTCGTAAGCCCATGCTCTCCGGCCTCACCGTGCCTGGTGAGAGTGCCCTTTTGAATGGCGCCATCATCAAGGCTGCGAACGATCTGCGGGATTACTACAACAACATTTCTTTGTGGAATCCACTTTCTCTGGCATTTCAACTGGGAATTGAGGTCAGTGTGGTGATTGAGCAGCTACTGCTAGCGAAGGAGTATGGCTTGGTTTCCATGCTTTTTGTTGTCTCTTGTCGATCATGTGGATGTGATATGCTGCGTGTGGATGCCGTGCGTGAAATCTGTTTCCGCGCCACGTATCATAAAACAAATATTATTCGCTGCCCAATGTGTACGGACTGCACGGAAGTGACGGATTTGACACATGTAGGAGTTTTCTTTCAGGATTTTTCTCCACCCGAATTCCTTCGGCGAAAGTATCACCGCCTCTTCTACAGTGATGAAGCGATTCGACGTCAATTGGAAGCATACTTTTGTCCGCCAGGGGCCGCGTTTGCATTTCACATGCGTCTTCCCGAGGGTCGATATCTGATTGTAGCATCGGGAATGGGTATTCTTGTAGAGATTCAGGTTGGAACAGGGGTTGAATTCTTGGGGAAAGATTGTCCCTTTCACGCAGTAACCCTTTCATTGGGGAAATTGCTGAACGAAAACGGTGTGGACTCAGAAGGAAATGGAAGGCGACGCCGTGTGATACGCGTCAATCACGGCAAACTGGTCTTTCGTGTGTTTAACGCCACACCATACGGTAGTTATTTGGATTTCTGTGTTGCCTTTGATGAACGTCTGGAGTTCTTGGCACCACAGACTCCCCTTGTGGCGACTGTCCCCATGGTTCTGCACACTGCCTCACGAGGACTGCGATCCCCGTTGTTTCATTTTTTTATTCCAAGGCCTCCTGGTACCCGCACCTCCGGTGTGTATGTTCTGCATTCCTTTGCGCTCCCCAGTGAGGAATTTGATGAGCCTATCACTGCAGGCACGGAGTCTGTTCTAGCTGTCATTCGTGAGGTACATCGATACTCCTTGGAAGACCATCATGGTCTTTTGATCTCCGTAGGGCACGGCGGCAGTGTATTTGAGTCATCGTTTTTTTCCGTGACGGCAGCTCTGGCTTCGTCGCTCTGCCTTGCGCAGCGCGTCGTGACACGCCTTGGTGAAGAAGTTGCTGCCTCCTTTACATGCACTATCACAAAAGGGACCATGTACATGGCGTCCTTTCAGGGACAATACGATGATGACGAAAATTTGCGCTCCTCATACCCCGACGTACATGTCGTTGGGCCGGTGGTGTATGCGGCCACACATCCGCCCGTTGTTTTAACAAATGACAGGGATGACAAGGATTCCGTGCAGCCTGTTGTTCGCTGTGCGCGGATTGAGCTCCGATCAGTCTCAGAAGAGCATATGGGTGTGTGTCTTGAGCCTGCCGCCGCAGATGCGATGTTTCCATTTTTTCTTTCCTACCTTGGAGATCAACTAAAGGCTTTGCAGGTCGTCTCTGAACCACAGGCGCTGGTTCTTTTAGTGCCGCTATCGACGCTAAATGCAACAGTGATGCTGCCCTCGTTGTTAAACCCTGTCATGTACACAAAGGAGTTACGTGGGCCATTTGGTTAACGGTTCGGTTCGAAAGAGGAAGGTGCATATATATATATGTGTGTATGTGTTGACGCGCGTGCGTCCGAACGAGAAGAAGGATGTGGGAGAGGGGAACGAGGGTCAAAAAGTGGTCCAACTGCACTTGGCGCAGAAAAAAACAAGAAGACAAAGGACACGGAAGAAAAAAAGAAAAACTGCTGATCTCGTTGGATGTTTCAGCGTCGTCGTTCCATACTCTTTTCATAGACATAGTGATTGATGTAATCTTTTTCACATATGAAGGTGTGGACTTTTTTGATTGTGAGAAGCCCACCGGAGAGATGCCATAAATTTGACTCATCGCTGGCGTTTTTTTTTTTTTTTTTTTTTGCTGTTCTTCTTTTTTCCCCTCCTGCAGTTGCTTCTCATCGCTTCAGGTTGAGACTTTTCTCCGGGTGGGGCCGCCGATAGAAAAAAACCCGCCGTGGACGAGAGTATTTTTTGTTTTTTCGTTTGTTTGTTTGTCTCTGGGGAATCATTCTCTATTTCTCTTTATTCCGCCCTCTAAGACTCCATACCCATGCACACCGCGTCTGTTGTTGTTGTTGTTTTTGCCTTTTTTTTTTTTTTTTTTTTGCCTCCTTATGTGACCACGTCATTAATACGTGGTGGGCTGCGGAAGCCTCGAAAAGAGAAGACTTGTGGGTGTTGAGTCCAACAGTATGCGGCGCGTGTTCGACGGCCGTGGTGGCACGAGAGCCAGTCCGTCACCGTGGACGATGATGGCAACCAAACCGACAAATTGCACTCAATCTCGTTGGCAATCCTTCTTTGGCGAACACCGAGCAACGGCGCGGCAGTCAAGGCAGGCGTATAGCCATCCACTGGCGCCCAAAGACCCCGCCGCACGCAACATCGTCATTCCCGACGCTGTACACGCCAAGAGTCGCTCCCCAATGGCTCTTCCTGCTGAAGTGTTGCAAAAGCGAGCGCAGCGTGCGCTTCTGATGCAGCTGCAGCAGAATATTGTTTGGGAGGGCACAGTCATTGATGATGAGCGGCACGACTTGATTCAACACTTTGTTAGGCTTCGTCAGAACCCCAAGTACCGGTCGTCGAAGCAAATGATGATTTTGGGGGGCCGAGAAGTACTACGGGAGCTCTTTGAGGAAGGGCATACACCGCGGCATCTTCTTATTCGCGGTTCACAGGAGGTTCCTTCATGGGCGAAAAAGAAGGGATTAGAGACAGAAATTGTGCGTGTCGATCGACACGTCGCGGAGGTCTGCGCCCCTGGCAACGACGGCTACATTGGTGATTTTGACATTCCTCCACCTCCAGCGAAGGAAAATCTTATTGCAAACAAGCAACGATTTGATCGCATTCTCGTGCTTGACAATGTTGACGATCCGGGTTTGTTAGGAACCTTACTGCGTACTGCCGCTGGATTTCATTACGACGCGATTATCACAACCAATCACTGTGCTGATATTTATGATCATCGTGTGGTGCGATCGGCTCGCGGTGCCCATTTCCAGAAGGCGGTGCCGATATACACTCTTAAGGAAGAAGATGGTGATAACGTGTACGGTATGTTGAATCACATTGTGCAGCGAAACAACATGTCTACTGTTTGCTTTACACCCATTGATGATGACACGGAAAAGACGAACACTGGCAAAGCACCAAATGTAGTGTTAAGCAGTTCAGTTGCTCATGCGGGCACCTTTGAAAGGGAGGCACTTTCAGAGTACTGCCATCGTTGCTTTACAACTGAGGGGACGAAGGGTCAGCTTCTCATTGCTGGTCCGAATCATAAACGTAATTCTTTGCGACGGTGGTCGAAAAGAATTACCGGCCCTGTAACACAATTGTTGCTTGATGAAGTAACGCAGACGGATTCTTTGGTTGCCCTTTCAGTTGTTATTCATGCTCTTCGACCGCATGGGAACTGGGATTATCTTCCCACAAGCGAGCCGCATGACAGTAACACTGCCACCCTGGAGCTGCAGACAATGAAGGCAAGGGTTGATATTGGCGCGGATCGGCTGGAATTGCGAGAAACGGACTTAAACCTTGACGAGGAGGAACAGGTAGAGAAGGCCCGATTTAAGAATGAGTGGATGAGGTGGAGGCGGCTGCAGCGGGGAAAAATGGGCGACTATGAACGCTGGATGGAGGCGGAAACGCAACGTGTGAGGGAAATGGCAGCAAATGAAAGGCGCCGGCAAATAATGCCTTGGGTGCGGCTGCGTTGGCGGCACCAGAAGGGGGCAGCGGGGTTGCCGCCGTTCGTGCCAAACATCATTGATGAGTATCGCATGCCACTTGATCGTGATGCCCTTCGTGAGGAAAGAGAGACAAGTACGGGTTATGTGAGGCCGGAGAACTATGACCGGTAGGGGGCTGATGTGGTTTTTGAAACCGACAACCCGTAACAAAGTTGAAGTTGTTTTGCTGGTGATTAATTTTTGTTGTTGTTGTTGTTGTTGTTTCTTCTGCTGCCGTCAGGCACGCACAGAGCCACTTTTCACTGCGCCCCCCTCCCATGTGAATGCTTCTTGTCAAAAGTCAAGGTGTATTTTATCCAAATGCCATTTGGACTCATTGCCCTCTTCCCTTGCCTTATTAGAAGGGGTAGGGATGACGCTGTACTCTATCTACATTTTTAACCGCTACGGAGACAATATCTTCTACATGCAATGGAACCGTACGAGTGCGGTACAGGAAGGAGAGGCAAGCCTTGTCGCGGGGTTCATTTACACACTGCAGCACCTGTCCTCACAACTCTCCTCTTCAGGCACATCTGGGCTGAGGGCAGTGCAAACGCCATTTTATAAGCTTCATTACGCCGAAACGATGACTGGATATCGGGTAGCGCTCCTTACTTGCAGAAACGTGAGCACGGCGCTGGTGCAAGGCATATTTATTGAGATGTTTCGTGATGTTTTTCATAAAACTTTAACGAGGGATCTAAATTATCGCCACGAACCTGGGTGCATGATCACCAACCCGGATTTTGCGGAGGGGTTGGAAGCTCTTTTTCGCTCGAAGCAGTTGCTTGAATGAGGCATTACAGTTCATGTTCTTGTCCTTATCCTTTCCCCCTTATTGCCTTTCTCCCAATCAAACCCACAAACATGCAAAAAAGCATTCATTACACGTTTTTATGTGTGTATGCGAAGCAAGAACTTTGAATGCTAGTTTAAACGTTAAAATGCAATCATTTTTTTTTCTTTATTCTTTCTTTTTGTTGCGTTTTAGGTGGTAGAAAAGCGAGTGTGGAATAAAATATTGAGATTTGTTTTTCTTATTGGGATTGATCTGTTTGTTTGTACATTCCTGTTGCTTGGCGAAGTGAGGGGTTTTTCCCCGCGTCTATTTCCTGTGCAGTTCTGGGCTGGTGAGATTGACCCTGCGAAGATGGACGACGGCACGGGTCACCTCATACGCCCCTTTTCCGTCATTGGTATGGGTGCGTATGGCACAGTCTTCAAGGCATTTAGGCTGCCGAAGGAGTACGGAGACGAGGAGGAGATGTGGCGCAACCATGCACAGGCCGTCGCGGTGAAGGAGACAGTCTTCACAGAGGTGGCAGACGACATTACAGTTGTGCTGAAGGAAGTGTCGTACCTCAGTAATCTTCAACACCCGAACATTGTCTCGTATTTTACCGCATTTACAAACTCTGGTGTGACTCCTGTGGCACCGTCACCGGCATCAACAAATTCTAAGGGGAATGAAGGAATGAAGGCGTCCCCAAGCTTTTCCGCGGCGCCCTCCTTATGTATAGTGGAGGAGCTTGTAGAGGGGGCGTCTGTTGCAAAGGTGCTCAAGATGACTGCGGAGGGACAACTTTCAAATGTAATGTCGGAGGTGGATATTGCTGCTGTACTGTACGATGTTCTTCAAGCACTGCTTTACATCCATGAGGAATGCCGTTTGGTTCATCGCGACATTAAACCACTGAATATGCTTATGGATTGTAAGACCGCTTCTGTGAAGTTATGTGACTTTGGAACCTGTGCCGATGTGAGCCAACAAGCCGGACGCTACACTGTCATTGGTACCATTGGCTGGATTGCACCCGAAGTTCTTGACAGCGGTATGATGGACTGTCGCTCTGGGCACGTGACGTCCCACAGCTTCCCATCGGATGTGTGGTCGCTTGGCGTCTCCGCGCTTGAAATGGCACTGCCGAACATTCGAAAAACGGCCTTGTCTGAATATATCAAGGAGGTCAGTGCCTCATCGTGCTCGGCTCAGCGAACGTTGGAGTCCTCACGCAAGAGTGTTCTGCCCATGAAAATCTCTTCGGAGCGTCTACGTGACTTCATCGCCTGCTGCCTTCGGAAGGATCCGCTGGTACGGTCAACGGTTCGCCAGTTATTAGCACACCCGCTCATTGTGGGAAGCGGGGTGGCCAGCGCGCAAAAAAGACAGAAAAGAATAGCAGCCATCCTTGACGCGGTGAAAGCAGCCAACAAGTCAAATCAAGAATTGAATGAAAAAATGAACGACGACGCTATTGTTTTGCCACAATACGCCCACTCAACGCTTAAGAAAAATCGATGCATGGAAGCTATAGCAGCGATTAAAAGAGAATTTTTTGCCGCCCAGGCACCTCTTTCAGAGAAGTCTCGCGTCTCACACTACGCATGGTGCTTGCCAGAGCACATTGCCCGTATGTCATCGTCAGACGAATACCGCTACATGCCAACTCCCTTGAGACAGCAAGGGCTTGGTCAAGTGCCTTCCGTTCACAACCCACAGGGAAATGCGCGAAGCACGGCGCCACTCAAGCCTATTTTTGACTCTGTTGTTCTACCTGCCACAGTAGATTCACAACGTGTGGTGCTAAGTCTCATACGTAAGTATCGCAAGCTTGCCGGGGCAAACACGGCGGATGGATGGACAGAAGTTGATAAGCGGAACGAGGCATGCTACGCATTAGACGAGTTGGCCTGCCAGAACCTAAAGCATGAGAGATTTATTCGATTGCACGATGATCTGCTACGCACTTTTAAGGCCACGTGTATGGCGATTCCCGACTTTGCAGCGAGTTTTCTTTCTAACTTTACGCAGTCCTTAACGGTTTCGGATGACGATACGCAGAACCTACGACAGTTCATTGCCTACATTTTCCAGCTGCAGAAGGAAAATCTCATGCACACCCATCGTACTCAATTGGAGACACCGGACTTTAAGGCGACGGCATTCAAGAGCTCTGCAGACGCTTTTGCCCGAAGTTTGCAGCCGATGAACTTTGTGTCCGCAGAGGATTTACTGCGCTTTCCGCATATGCCGCAGTCGGCGGGATTCATGAATGCGAGTAATCTTGGAGATGATGCAGCTACTGGTACAATGCGGCAACAACAACCCCTAGTCAATCCTTCGGCATATTTGTTTAACACCTGGCTGAAGCGAAAGCGGGCCGATATATTAGGTCCCTCATGATGTCTGTTAAAACTTTATCTGGAAAGTGTGCGGTGTGTGTCGTTTTTGTTGCTCTGCCATGGCAGCTGTGTTGAATGGCAACGTTTTCTTGGTGTGGGTGTCCCCGCTGCTCTTCGTTTTTTTGTTGTTGTTGTTGTTTTTTTTTTTGTTTTTTTTTTTTTTGTTTTCTACTGTTTTTTGTGTCTTCATATAAAAAGTGTTTGTTCCACGCTTGCATTTTACCCACCATCTTCATATCTGATGTTTTTTTTTCCCCTCTTTATTTTTTTTTTTTTTTTTTGTGCGAATGAACCATGCATTTTTCCGTTCCTCCTCAAGAGGGAGTGGGTGAGACGTGGGGCCGCAGCCGCCGTGGTGAGAATCATGACGAAATTGGTGCGCAAACTCAAGCAGACGGCCAAGAAGCGGGCCCATCGCAAAACCGTGCTGAAGCGAAAGGTGGAGCGGGCACAAAGGGATATTGAGGAGAGTGAGAGGCTAAAGAAGGAGCGGCTGGAGCTTGAGACCGACCTTGAGATGCACCGCCTCACCCATGGCGAGGAGGATGCCGAAATGAAGAAGCGGCTTGTGCGGTTGGTGGGAAATCTTGTTCTGGAGGCCCCGCAACGGAAATCAAAGAAGCAGGCTAGTCGCAAGCAGATGAGGCGAAAG